ATTAAAGTAAGCACCATTTCAATTCGATCAACCAAATTCAAATTAATCGAATTTGAAATTCAGCCAATGAAATTCAAATTATTCGATTTTGAAATTCAGTCAATAGAATTCGAATTATTCGAATTTGAAGTTAAACCAATGAAATTCAAACTACATAAAATTTGATATCAGCCAATGCAATTAAAGTAAGCACCATTTCAATTCGACCAACCAAATTCAAATTAATCGAATTTGAAATTCAGCCAATGAAATTCAAATTATTCGAATTTGAAGTTAAACCAATGAAATTCGAACCATTGAAAATTTGATATCAGCCAATGGCATTAAAGTAAGCACCATTTGAATTCGACCAACCAAATTCAAATTAATCGAATTTGAAGTTCAGCCAATGAAATTCAAATGAATTTATCATCTAGAACTAAATCCTTAGCACCTTCGAGCTACTTTTCTCTGGTGCTAAATCCACGAAGCCCTCTCCTCTATTCTACAGACTGTCCGCGAATTTCCAAATTATAAAAATTCGCGACGTAACAACGATGTAATAAAGAGATACACCGAATTGCACAGGTCATGGTGAAAATATTCGTTGTGGCAGCGATAATTTCATACTTCGGTATGACCGAACAGTCGAATTTCGCTACCGCTACGAATACTCCATTGCCACTACTCCAACGAATGTTTCACCTTGCTCTAGGAGTTCCTGAACGTTGATCTATGGGATTCAGTGTCCCTCACAGCTATAGTAAACAATGTACTCATCGTCGGATAAAGGATTTTTTTCACTTTTCTCGCTTATCTTGAAAGAGGAAGAAAAATGCCAGGTTTGTAGGTTTACCTAACGCAGTGTCAAATATCTGACTCTTCCTACTCTTCGCAAATGATTCGAAATTAATTCATTTACACTTATTTTTAAAATGAAACATACTAAGCGAGTAAATAATTTTGCCGAATTCCACACCTCGATCCCAGAATTTCCACGCTTTCCTTTGCAATCGCTGCACACTCGTGTCGTTTGCAGCACAAAACAAAAAAACAGGATGACGCGAGTGTCACTTCTAATCGATAGCTCAGAAATGCTGCAAAAGAATCGTTCCTCGATCTAACATCGTTGTAGATTTCCAACGATGTTCAATGAACTTTGAATAATTACACTCTTTTGTCAGAACGCGGTTACTCGCGTCAGTTGTTGCGATACAATCAGTGAGTTAAGGTAGCTCATATTTTTTAACGTAACACAGATACGAATCATGGGCGTTGTTTCAAAATCTAATCTCGTACGCTTCGGAAGCGGAGAAGTAGATAGAAATTATCTGTTAGGTTTCCTCGAAACGGAAGGCCAAGAAGAGGCTGGCCGTCGAACGTTAACATTTATTGATTTCTGTGCCGTGCAGCGAGCGAGGTATAGTCGACGGAAGCGATACGGCGAGATAGTGAAATCAATCAGGCGTCGAAGTACGCGTAATCCTAGCGCCGAAACAGCAGTTCGAAGGAGATAAAGAGCTCGAGCCTCGCTCGATGTCAGCTCGAGAGATGTATAGTCGATGGAAGAAATATAGCGAGGTCGTAAAGTCGATCGGGCGTTCAAATTGACACGTTCGAGCGTAGGAAGTGAATCGAAGGACAGACGAAGAAACTGAGGAGATAAAGAATCGGAAATCTTAGTCGAAGAAGCATAAAGTATGTCTTAACGTTGACTCAGTTCTAATCGAGGAACGAAAAATGTCACGTTCGAATTTAAATAGGTGTTACGATCTCGCTATATTTCTTCCACCAACTATACTTCCGAAAGACTTCTCCGCGCCTTGATCGTTGACGTTTGTTGGTTAATTTCGAGCAATACGGGGATTAATGCAATTGAAAGTAAATTAAACGCAATTTTGTTCAATTATTTTCCTTAATTTTAGAAGCATAAGTTACGGTATCACAAATAACCAGAAAATTCCGAAACGCCTAGAAATTAACCCTTTTGCGAACGGAGGACTACTATTCCAATTTTTTTTAAGTTAAATAATTTCCAAATTTTATTTCTCTCAAATATAAGTATTCGAGTTTATGGCAAAGCCAACTATTTCTATTGCTTAAAAATACGTGAGTTATTGGTTGCGTTTTTAGTGTTTCGTGAACGAGTACTATCGTTCTCAAAGGGTTAATTGAAAGAAAACTAAAATTGACCAGCTTCGTCGCGTCGAGTTGTAAAAGTACGAGCGTTGAGGGGTTAAATATACGAGGCGAAGGAGACTTTTAACACGGTACACATCTTAAACGAAAGATTGCAGAAATGTTAGATGTCGATTTGAAAAATGACGGTCGGACCAGAATCGGTGTCGCCGCTTTAATTTACGGCCACGCTGTATCGCTTCCAGCAACTATACAACAAGGGATAGGTAACTTCTGTCGCAGTATCGATCGCGGTATCAAAGCAAGGAAAACACTCGGGAAAATTTGAACGAACAAGTCGCGTTAGTTAAATGAAAATTATAATTCCTTCCAATGAACGACTGTTGTAAAGTGCAATCCTAAATATATCGATATTCACCTGCACCAGGCGATCAATTGTACAGGTATACTATCGAGCGAAGTGTGAAGTACAACAAAAAAGAAAAAAACACCTCGTATTATCTCGTCGTATCGTGAATCAAGCGATAATATAGACATACGGTTAGAAATAGAGATAACATAATCTCGTTCCTTTATATAGACTACCACGTAAAGTTTTCCTTATTTGCGATATTTTTTTCACGTGAAAACCCTGGACAATCGACATCGGCGAAAGATCTCGAGTTACCGTGAACAAATCACGCGCAATTGGAGTTGCACCAAGTGTCGAGGTTATCGTGCCAGAGAGATGAATCGGTGTTACCTGCAACTTTTCCTCCTGTCCGTTTTCATCGTTGCCGGTGAGTGAAAATAATGGTGAAAATTCGTGAAAAATCGCAATTGTCCCTTGTTACCGGAAATCCCTTCTCGATCCTTCGCGAGGAGAGTGAGAAGAGAAGAGAACCGACTTGGCGAAGCAAAATTCGTGAAAAATCGCAATTGTCCCTTGTTACCGAAAATTCCTTCTCGATCCTTCGCGAGGAGAGTGAGAAGAGAAGAGAACCGACTTGGCGGAGCAAAATTCGTGAAAAATCGCAATTGTTCCTTGTTACCGGAAATTCCTTCTCGATCCTTTGCGAGGAGAGTGAGAAGAGAAGAGAACCGACTTGGCGGAGCAAAATTCGTGAAAAATCGCAATTGTCCCTTGTTACCGGAAATCCCTTCTCGATCCTTCGCGAGGAGAGTGAGAAGAGAAGAGAACCGACTTGGCGAAGCAAAATTCGTGAAAAATCGCAATTGTCCCTTGTTACCGAAAATTCCTTCTCGATCCTTCGCGAGGAGAGTGAGAAGAGAAGAGAACCGACTTGGCGGAGTAAATTCGTGAAAAATCGCAATTGTCCCTTGTTACCGGAAATTCCTTCTCGATCCTTCGCGAGGAAAGTGAGAAAGAAAATGAAAAGAACCGACTTGGCGGTGCAAATTCGTGTTAACGTCGAGACTTTTTCCCATTGTAACGTCGCGTTTCGATTTCGTTGGTGATCGGTTTTCACTTTTAACGCGTGTCGCGACGGAAAAATTTCAGCCTGGTGTCTGAACGTGAACGACGATGAATCGGCGAAGAAATCGGCTGAAGGGAGTAACGTCTGGCCAGCGTTGATGGACGATGTTAAGGAAGAAAGCACAGGAAACTTCACGTACCGCCTTATGAAAAAAAGCAAGTACTGCATATTGGCGAATATGGATATCGACATATCGATACCAGTTAAGGTGAGATCTAGAAAGATTAATTGTTCGTTGAATCTAAATCGGTACGAATCGTCGAAATTCTTTCCAACAGGGTGAAAACAACACGGTGTTGAAGGTTCCAAAAAATGCTACCGTAGACGGTACTTGTTCGTCTGTGATATCTGAGTTGAAATTGAGTTGGAAGGGGGCAGCCGATAGGAACAACATGATTAAATTCACGTTCATCAACGATCACACCGATTTCTCCATTTTCTCCGTCGCCTTCGACGTTGTACTGGACAAAGGTGCAGGTAATACAGGGTGCAGCGAAAATTAGTCTCACGATTTTGAACACTAGGTAAAAATTTGACGGTTCGATGCTGACGAGTATTGTAGATATGATCGTTTCTAACTTTCCGAGTTTATTTTCTACACGTGTGCTTCTATTCGTGTGAAATTGATATCGATACTATCGGTTTAGAACGGTATAACTTCTTACAAATTGAACCTAACGACTTGAGCTTTTTCGAGAAGTTAGAAGGATCGGTATAGTAGACGACGTGTGCAAGAAATTTGGAAAAAATTGCAATTTCTTAAGAAAAATCGCCATCGTTCTCCGTGTTTAACTCTCGAGCTTCGATAATCAGGGTCCCTTAAGAATTAGTCTATTTTTGATTTCTAACGTCACTTCTGCACTCTGTCCAATTTAAGAATAACCTCGCTTCCGGACGTGCCTAAGGTAGGGCTAGAACGTCCAAACCGCCTACGTTTTTCTCCGTCTTACCCTCTGCTACGCTCCCTGTCTATGAGCAGAACGGACGAGAATCGGTCCGAGAACGAGGTTATTCTTAAATTGGACAGAGTGCAGAAGTGACGTTAGAAATCAAAAATAGACTAATTCTTAAGGGACCCTGTGCATCTATTAGGTGTACAAATTAATTCGTGGATTTGTTATTTATTTAAAAAAGGCCAAAGTACAGTTCGGTGTTGGAAATAATCTCCATCACTTGCTATACATTTATTCAATTTCTCGGGCAGTTGGCGAATTCCCTTTGGAAAAAATGACGGCGGTTTAGAACGTAGAAAATCAGCAATGCTATTATTGACATCTTCGTATGTTTTGAATTTTGAATCGGTTAAATCGTGCTGATGGATAAGCCGCACGGGGCAGAATTTCCCATTCCCAAACACCTTTCGCTTCAAGAGCACTTTTTTTAAGTTGAAATGCAAAAAGGATGCAGTGTCTAATACGCTGTTTATCCGACGACATAGTGTTCCCCGCTGTTTCTTAGGTTATGTCATTAGTCACATCGAGTCCGATAGTGCTTTGTTTCGCTAATAGAAGCAACTTCAGAACTCTAACACAGCGGGAAGAAAGATTCGATTCGAAGCAAAGTTACAGCTGATTAATCGCAAGGGCCACGAATTCATTTGTACACCTAATAGTTCACGATTATTCCAAACGTTCTATCTTCCGTTCGATCACGTTCAATAAACACGTTCTGCATAATCTTCGACGTAGGTAACTCCAGCTTGAAGGAAGCATCGATCGATGCTCTCCGTTTGTTCGTTACACCCGTGAAGAACGGACTTCACAAATGCAACGAGGGGAGAACTATAAAGACTAATACAGCGAATGTAACTTTCGCAAACGTTTCCTTAATCGCGTTCAATACCGAAGACGATATATCCAAACGAGAAGGTAAAACTGCGCGACGGTTGGAAGAAACGATGGAAAATTGTACGTAGTCTGACGAGTGTCTCTTTACATTCGTAGCAAAGCAGTGCGACAGCAAGGCAGAGGACGGGGCTAAAACTTTTCACTACGTGTCAAAGACGAATGGTATTTGTACAATGGCGAATATGTCTATTACTTTCGATATACCGTACAAAACGAAAGATTCCAAGGTGATAACTTTTATTTTACACGAAACACGATGTGCTTTTCGAAGAATCGATTTGTCGGTGGATTCACATCGATGTCAGTGATAATATTTCTTCTTTTTTTCTTTTTGTAGGATGCACATGGGAAAATAACTGTTCCGAGTAAAGTGGACGTCAGCGGAAACTGCGATTCGGTATTGTCGCAGATGAAGTTAGCTTGGACAGAATCGTCGAGCAAACCGTTAGCCGAGAACGAGAAAGAAAATTATGTTTCTTTTGTTTTTGCCAAGAACAAAGTGAATAGTTTCATGTCCACCATGGTGGCCAGTATTTACATGGACGAGAAGAACTTCCCGAATGCTACAGGTACGCGTGTATACAGTAATGTCTCCATAAGTGTCAGTCCGCAAGGAACCTAAACCTGACACTTGTAGAGTCAGGGACTACGTTTTCGAGCCTCGCGCCCGCCTTTGTAGTCTGCCTAACGTAGACAAGGACAGCGAATAAAAGATAAGGATGAAACGTGAGTCGAGGCAGCCAAGCGATTTAAATACCAACTTTTTTAATTTTACGTTTTTTTATCCCGTACATTTGACTGACACTTGTAGAATCGGCCCTACATTTGACTGACACTTGTAGAATCGGACCTACATTTTTTTTTACGTGGAGGTAGGCCGACATTAAATTAATTACTCAATAAGTATTAATAAGTAAATGTTGTTCAAATTATATCGTGTTTGATCTCATTCTCATCAGAAAAATCTCAGCAACATGTTAAAAAAAATTTCAGATGAAAGAAAGTAAAATTAAACGGTGGTGTAGCGTTACACGCTTCACTGACTGCAAGCGAGATAACATAGGCGCAACAATGACGCAGACCTAGGCGTAGGACCATCTATACTGACACTTGTAGAATCCAAACTGGCTGACACTTGTAGAGACATTACTGCAGTCGGTGGAAGGGATATAGCGACGTGGTAAATTCAATGGAAGATTTAAGGCGGGCTTCTCGTGTAACAGCAGTGAAATCGAACGATTTTTCTGCATCTTTTTTTTTTTGGAGAACTGTTAACAATACAACGTTATCATTTTATGGGTACATAGATATTAGGTCGTTGCATACGAAATGGCGGTGTTCGCATGCTGGCGGATCCCGTTTTGTTTTTGTAAATTAGAATCATGGCGATTGTCATATGAAAAAGTGAAGCCTATAGTCTACTGTTTCATTAAAAGTATAAAATGGATTCTGAACAGATTTGGGTGATTTCCTTTTACGAATTTAAACTGGGACATTGTGCAGTAGAGGCACTATGAAATGTTAATACATACTGCATTTGAGATAGGAACAGATTTTGTAACAGGAAAGATATTCAACAATGAGCCACTATTAAGAATGCATTTCTGGAATTTCTTACCAATATTCAGATTTGAATAATAATAGACTAAAATCATTTGTAATTCGTTGGCAAAAATGTGTCGAATCTGCTAGAATTTGTTTTGATAAATAAAGTTTAGTTTTGAATTAGTTTTGGGTAGTTAATGAATCCGCCATTTCGTATGCAACAGCCTAATACATTCGTAAACTACACGAGCAATTTTTTTTTTTTTCTTGCACGCGTCATCTAGTACAATGGGGTCCCAAGTTACGTCGTTTCTACACAATTCGATAGTCAATTGTTTTTAACCGATATTTCACGCTCCACGTGTTTAGTTCTTACTGAATCAGTCTGGAAGTTACTCGAGCAAAGAATACGAAACTTTAAATGTGATCCCTTCTATCATTTCTATAAAATTCAAAGAAAATGCAACCCCTAATCTGATAAATACGTGTATATATGTATATGTTTGCATACATACATATGTACCCCGACTTACGTCTTTTTCGACTTACGTCGCCCACTCTGGAACCAATTAGTACGTAAGTCCGGGGCCCCACTGTATACTAATCATCCTAACTTCTCAAAGAAACTGAAGTCGTTAGTTCCAATTAGAAAAAAGTTATACTGTTTTAACCGTTATGTCAATAACCAGAACTGTCGTCTACTTTATCGTCCAATTTTAGTAGCTTTCTGATAAGAAAATTCCAAACTTGAGGCAAACTTGAGGAAGGTCAAACATTTTAAGTGAGAATTATGCAAAAGGGTACCCGGTTATTCACATAAGGGTTAAAGAGTGTCCGAATATTAGTGGGAGTGAATGTTTGTATATTCAGTACGAGAATCGGAATTTCTTTCACGAGAATTACTCTCGTTCTCGTATTTCTGTCAATATCCCCGTGTTGGAACACTCGAACCATGTTCACATTCACTCCTAACCGATTTCACGAACTCGCTATATTTCTTCCACCGACTATACATGTTACCGCATCGCTGCGAACGACAGATTTCGAACGAGATTCGCCGATCCTTCCGTCGTAACGCCATGAAAATGTCAGATGTAGGTAAGCGAGTGACGGTGAATACGTTGCTGGACCATCAACTGTTCCTCGCATCCGCGGAAAACGGATTTTACAGTTGCGAGAAAGCTGCCGAGCTGACGATCGACGGCGTCAAGATTTCCATAAGCGACGTCCTCTTGATCGCGTTCGACGCGGAAAAGGAGCTCGCGTCGAAAAGAGGTAACACGCTTTAATAGCTTGCCGAGTACATTACTGTGCAGAGCTGGATAGAATACACGGGTCTGATTGGTCGTAAGTGCGACAGGAGAATCTTCTTTAACGCAACCGTAAAGACAAAGAGAGATGAAAGTTCAAAGCGACAGCGTTACCCGATGTTTCGTGGATCCCTGGTAGATCGAAACAGTCGAATGTTACATTTTCCGATCCTCTGGGGAGAATTGAAACTTTTCGCGCGATAGTTATCTACGGGAAAAAATTCCCAAACTTTCGTCTATCCTTGGACGTCTCAGGACGTCGGTTTCGGGAGCGTTACAGCGATGCGATGCCCCGGTTTTTGGCCTGAATTTCTCGAAGCTGAAGGCAGGTATCGGGGTAACGCTTAAATCTTTATTGAAAGAAGAAGAAACTTTGTTGAAACTGGCGAAATGTGACGTGGGGACGACGATACGGAGAACGAATCGGGGATGGAAAAATAGGGCTACTTAAGGGGTTAGGACTGCTTAGTTCTTTCTATAACGTCTGCATTGGTGGTTAAGCATTTCTTTTTATGGGGTGCATTGAAGGAAAAAGTTTATAAAGAACCTCCAACAATGCCGGAAGATACGCGAGAGAAACGTCATAGAAAGATCGTAGCAGTCATTTCTTAACCGTTTACATGAGTGTATTGCTGCTAGTGGACACCATTTTGAGCATCGATTCAATTAAGGTAAACGATATTATTTTAATCTTTCTTTGGTTTAGACGAAGACGAGATACTTTTTATGGTGCTTGCCGAATTCGTCTCGGTATCTCCTAAAAGATGGGTGTAAAAAAATTGTAGGTTTATCTATAAAAAACTGAAGGTGACCTTGATAACTGTGGAGAAAAAGGGTTGACAAAAAATTTGGTACAATCATCTTAGAGCTCTCCTTGAACTATGTTAATTTAGCTAAAAGAACTTCCGATCGAGCCGCTAACAGCAGAATAATCTAAGCTGATCACGCTTCGTGGTCCGCCCTGTATAGTTTTATAATGAACTTTAACAAAATTTAAAAATACAGCCAATTTTTAATAGGAAAACCAAACCGTTGCCGTTCGTGATGTCCTAAATGTCGCGGGGTAATCACGAACACTGCTTATTTGTTTACAATAGTCGCTTAAATAGCCTCTAGATGTGCTTCGACCATCACTGCACTTTTGCAACAAAATCGTAACACATAATCCAATCTTCAGTTGGAGGGTTCTCGTACTTTTTTTTTTTACAATAAATACCTCTAAACAGAACGAAGCGAGAAGAGTTTATACCACCGTTCTATTCAGCTCTGCATAGTAATCGCATCGAGAATCGCCGATCGATACGGGACAATCGTTGTATGTTTCAGTGACGGATTGTCGATACCTTTTCCCCGAAGACAGCTTCAACTACAAGCTGTACGACAAGGAAACGGGGGTTTTCTGTACCTTGGCGAAAATGAGGATTACAATGGCTGTACCGTACGAAACAGCAAACTCGAAGGTACAGGTTAACGCATCGGTATCGTTGTACTTCCATTTCTCTATTGTCATATCTCTCGTCGCAGGGAAGTAAACTGCTAACAGTTCCGTCTGATGCGACCGTGAGTGGCGTTTGCCACAGCAAATGGCCCATTCTGTATCTAGACTGGGCCGCATCCTCGAAAGCGACATCGAACAGTAAGATTACATTGCACATAGCTCAAAATGCGACGGATTTCTTCGTCTACGGAGTAGAAGCCACCGTTATTTTGGACGAAGAGAATTTCCCGGGTGCTGTCGGTAACTGCTTGCAAACTCCTACCCCCGAGCGACTTCAATCTCGCCAAGATTCTAACTAACGCACCGTGAACCGATTTCAGGTGTAAACAAAACCGTAACAGGCGGCATGAGTTCAGCTATATTTTCCGCGGACAAGTCCGCCGGACTGTACCGATGTGAAGGGAAAATTCACGAGTTAAAGCTTGATACGATGGATATGAACCTAACCGATGTTCTATTCGTGGCGTTCAACAAAGATCTAGATATGAACGCGAAGAAAGGTGAGGTTAAGACGGTCGATCTTGAATTTTCTATCGATGACGCGTTGTAGCTTCACGAGGCCCCGGGAAAATTTGAATTTCGGGGGCCCCGTGTACAGTGTTGGAGTCAGACATTTTTCTTCGGGGGGAATTTGGTGGGGGATCAATGTTGCATTCCGTATACCGATTGTTTATTAGGTAACAGCGTACAAGTATCACGGAACGGTGACACGTTGACAAGGTACAATAATCTTACTATACGTCGTTCGAAATAAAAGTAACCTCGCTCTCGGACCGATTCTCGTCCGTTCTGCGCATAGACAGGGAGCGTAGCAGAGGGTAAGACGGAGAAAAACGTAGGCGGTTTGGACGTTCTAGCCCTGCCTTAAGCACGTCCCATGCGCGAAACGAGGTTACTCTTATTTTGAACGATGTATAGCGGACTATTCTATAGTTTACGGAGCGGCGTTCGTAACGGTCAAGAAACTATTCTTGGATTTTTGAGAAAGAAGGTGTAATATATGTGCTCGTATTTTGAGAAGTGGGGATTAGGATTCGTAAGGGTCCGAGGGTAGGTCGGAGTTAGTCAGGAAAGGACGAGATGATGAGGTCGAGATTCGCGGATGAGTAGTAAATTTACAAAATGAGACTGGAAGACTAATACTTAACCCCTTTACCTATGATTTCTTTGCTGACTATGCATCTAAGCGTCAGCCATTTTCTGTTTCACTACTGTATCAGGTAAGAAAAACTAATCTGTCACAGATTAATTACATTTAGCAATCCTCAGTCCTACAAATTTAAACGAAAATTAGGATTACTATTAATTTTTCTTACTAATACAACTATTTTTCTCATATTTTTGTCACATCTTCGCCAGAATCTCTGCCACGTTGTCATATGTTAAGGGGTAGAATCTACAGCGTGATTTAGAATATTAGATAATGTCGGTATACAACGTCAATATTTTGAACAACTTTTAAATGGCCGAAAATTTTGGCAAATAATTACCGCAATTTTTAATCTTCGACATTCCTACTATACATCGTTCAAAATAAGAGTAACCTCGCTCTCGGACCGATTCTCGTCAGTTCTGCGCATAGACAAAGAGCGTAGCAGAGGGTAAGACGAAGAAAAACGTAGGCGGTTTGGACGTTCTAGCCCTGCCTTAAGCACGTCCCATGCGCGAAACGAGGTTACTCTTATTTTGAACGATGTATACAGCGATGAAGTTACGAAAGATTGATTTGGAGCCCCCCTCGTTGGTGGAGGCCCCGGGCAATTGCCCCTTTTGCCCATGGGATAACGCGCCACTGTCAACGACAAACACCGGATACTTTTCTGTATCGTAGAACGAGATGTGTGTTCGATTGTTTCAGTGCATGACTGTGCCGCGCAGGACACGACGACACAACCGCCGACCGAATCGACGACCCAATCGACCACCCAATTGACGACACAACCGCCCGGCGGTGTAACCATTCCAACGCCAGATCCTTCGGTGAAGGAATACAATTACGTCGTGACGGATCCAAATTCTCACATACCTTGCGTTTTGGCGAACATGACGATTCAACTGTCGATAACGTACAAGAAGAGCGATTCCAAAGAGGTAAGGTTGTTCGTTTGGACTCGTTTTAACGCGTTCACTGCCACGCCAGATTTACACAGCGGGTGACGAGATTATCGATAGGAAAAATATGTTTCCTTTTTGTTTTTCGCGTACGCGTAAAATCGCGATATCAAGGTTTTTCACATTGGATAATTTTCAATCAACGATTCTTCGCTAAAGATAGAGGAAACAGTTGAGCTTAGATTACGTATTAGGTCGTTGCATATGAAACGGCGGATTCGTTGATGAAACTTTAGACCTCGATAACGTAGTCCAAACTAACACTCTAGCAGATTCGACATATTTTTGCCAACGAATTGCAAACAATCTTAGTCTATTATTATACAGATCTGCATACTGGTAAGAAATTCCACAAATGCGTTCTTAATAGTGGCTCATTGTTGAATATCTTTCCTGCTACGAAAGCGATCTAAATGCTTAAACCAACTAGCTGTTCCTAGTCTCAAATGCAGTACTAACATTTCATCGTTCGCTGTAACCTTCGAACGACGAATGCCGGGTCACTTCTGACCCAGCTTTCAGGCGTCTCTCGTTTCTGAGTCTAAATCTTCCGAGTATGAAATAATCAACGTATTTACAATATAAAGAGAGGAGAGTTGTGACTCTCGTAATGTTCCTTCGAACGGCGAACGCCTAAAATGACTAAATTTTCCGAGTCTAAAGTAGTAACAATAAAAATAAGAAATAATAATTTCATAACGTACACGTTTTGCTCAGGGGGCCAGAAGAAAAACTTGCATTATTCCAAGCATAGTATTGTATTATGCTTTATTGTTGCATTCTTTTAAATTGAAAATAACGTCCAGTCAGCTGTGACGTTCGAAATTTTTCATCGACGATATTCATTTCGTTCGAATTATTCTAAACATTCGAAGCCCTCCGGTGACGATGAACCTGTTAAACGTGCGAATATCATCCTAATGTTGGTTTCTAGGCGGAGAAAACCATTACTGTACCGAACACAGCTAAAACGAACGGCACATGCGAGGACACGACTGCGAAGATGATTTTACACTGGACACCGGAGAACGGAAACGAGGAGAACAACGTGACGTTCACCTTCAAAGAGGACAAATCCAAGTCCTATCTTCAGTCGATGGACGTGGACATCTTGTTGGACGAGAAAACGTTCCCCAATGCGACAGGTAAAATTCGTTCGTGCTTCCTCTTTTCCTACGAATTTCACTCCAAGTAACCCCGACGATACCTCGATTCAGAGAAAAGACGCAGAGCTACCACGAAGGAGATCTCTGTGTTCGCCGCGACTTCGAACAACATCTACAAATGCGCGGCTGACACCGTACTGAGCGCGGGGGAAGTCGGTATACATATCAAAAACGTCTCTTTGATACCTTTCAACACGAAGAAGAACGTCACGTCGAAGACAGGTGAAGTTTCTGTTTATATCGTACGAAACGTTACCGTGTTCGGAAATGTTTTCGCGGTAGGTTCGACACACCCGACACAATTCGTGCGATGTACATATTTCGTTTGTTTTTCTTTTCGCAGAGGAATACTGCGATACCGCGACGACGGAGTCAGATGTAGGGGCAATTGTAGGTGGTATAATCGGCGGTGCCATTCTTCTGGGTATAATCGTGTATGTAATTATGTACTGGAGAAGGAGGCATTACATCAGTTAGTAAACTTGCGCGATTACTAGTGAATTTTGCGTGTTACACGAATAAACGAATCCTAACTTTCTTAAAAGTTGCACGACGATCCTTTGAACGAACCTCTTACGAAAATCAAATTTTTAAGTGTACACGGGTGTACGGAGGGTTTTGTTAACGAAAGAAATAGCGAGATCATGGTAGAGGGATGGAAAAATATTAAAGAGGTCGAAGAAGGTCATCCTGAAAGTTGTCGTAGTTTTAAACCGTTCATTTTGAAGAAACGTAACTTCGTTGGAATTGAACATTTTTATTTAAAATACTTTTCAGGATGAAATTCCATTGGAATTGAACATTTTTATTTAAAATTTCACTGGAATTGAACATTTTTATTTAAAAGAGTTTCCAGAATGGAATTCCATTGGAATTGAACATTTTTATTTAAAATAGTTTTCAGAATGAAATTCCATTGGAATTGAACATTTTTATTTAAAATTTCACTGGAATTGAACATTTTTATTTAAAAGAGTTTCCAGAATGGAATTCCATTGGAATTGAACATTTTTATTTAAAATAGTTTTCAGAATGAAATTCCATTGGAATTGAACATTTTTATTTAAAATTTCACTGGAATTGAACATTTTTATTTAAAAGAGTTTCCAGAATGAAATTCCATTGGAATTGAACATTTTTATTTAAAATAGTTTTCAGAATGAAATTCCATTGGAATTGAACATTTTAAAATAATTTCCATAATGATCGACATAGTTTTGTCAAAGTATTACAAGAGCATCAATTCGGCGTATACAAAAATGCCACCCAAAAATTTTTCTAGTGAACGAAACAGATGGTAATCCAATATTGAGGAGAATATGACATATATTGTACAAATTCCCACTTCAGTTGTTTAACTTCTCCTATTCTTGCTTATCAAATCTGATCATTCGAGAACATAATGCGAACCAACGAGAAATTAAGTACTTCCGTGCTGCACATCTTCAAACGCGCTACACAAATTTACCGAATGAAATGTAATTAATTAACAAAATTAAATTTTGTAAAAATATTAGGTACAATAATGAATTCTTGCCGACTTTTGGATAGGGTAATTCCGGGAGAGACGGACCAGGCAAGTATTTCCTACATTATCCGCCAGATATGGAAGAAAAAACACCGAGAGCCACGCTCGATCGCTTTTCCTAAAACAAAAGAATACCGACTCGTTCCACATATGGCGGATAATGTACGAAATACTTGCCTGGTCCGTCTCTCCCGGAATTACCCTACAATCAAAGTTTTATTCAAAAACGAACAAAAACAGATCAATCACCGAAATAATTTCCACTATCCTCGATGACCTTTTGACATTTTTCTGGCAGCTTGCGAATACCGTAGCGATAGAAACTCGGTGTCTTCGAGCCAATTATGCTCACATTTCTACACCTAACAAATAAACCAAAAAAAAAAAAAACTTAATTTCTGACGCGTGCGTTAGAATTGGAACAAAATGATCTGACGTATCGTGAAAATTCAAGAAACCAACGCTTCCTATTTGTCTCTCCCTTCAGCCCCCGTTTTCTCGTTGTCGATCGTATCACACGTTGATGAACACACTTGCATATGGCGCTGGGAACCGTATTCGTTAATTATCCCATTTTAGGAAACAATTCGACGCTTCGATCACCCTTCACGTCCCGTCACGGTTACGCCCACCCCAATTATCTCGTTTGCTTGGCAAATTTCAACGTGTATTACTACGTCATGCGCAGCACGCGTGCGAACGGAAATCGATTTCAATGCAAAATCGCCAAATTACCCGACAGTTTTCCGTATTACCCCGCGCAGCGTCAACTTGCACTACATAAAATCGTCGTTTCGTCGTGTGTACACACGCGAGACTTTGCCCGATAAGTTCCGGGAAAATACAGATGGTTATCTATCCGACGAGAATCGAACGATGGAAAATGTGATACCGTGCTTTCTAGCGTGCATACTCGAACCGGAAAAAGCTCGTATCTCACAGCGATTCCGAGTGAAATAGCATGAAACGTTGAACGCAACCTCTCGTTTAACACCTGGATATCCTAACGTGAATAACAGATGCGGTAATAAAAATCCACGATAATCAGCGTTAATTGTTCTGCTAGGATGTTTACGATCGTATAAAACGTACCACTTTCCCGTGGGAATTAGACTGGACGATTAGAAAGAAGAAATAAAAAAAGAAGGTCGAAAAAGGGGAGTTTCTCGCGAAAAACCTATCGACAACCACTTCCGTTTTCCCACGTTTCGTAATTAGCTTCGGATCATCGGTTCCCTGTCGCCACAACCCGTATAACAGTTATTTATTAGTACAGTCTCCTTTTTTCTGTCCTGTTTCACCTCTCGAACGTCGCCATTGTTAAAGGGTGATTTAAATACCCAGGTTACTGGTGAAACAGAAAGAGCCTTGGGGTACGTGCAATAAAATTTAAATACCCAACTTTAAAAGGTGTGTACCTACTATGAAATCGGGGAAGAAGCTTAACCATTCTCCACGGACAATGACATTAATTGCGGATTGCTGGAATTCGTGAGGAGAGAATTTCCAGGGAGAATTTTCTCTGAAAATTTCGAAGGGAAAAACGAGAACTCGCGTGAGTCTACATTTGAATTCGCCAACGATGGAATTAATTACGGATTTGTGGAATTCGTGAGGAGAGAATTTCCAGGGAGAATTTCCTCCGAAAATTTCGAAGGGAAAAACGAGAGCTCGCGTGAGTCTAAATTTGAGTTCTAGCGGCGTATATGGCGACTACAATGGCATTAATTATGGATTGGTGGAATTCGAGGGAGAATTTTCTTTGAAAATTTTGTAAGAAAGAACGAGAGCTCGCGTGAGTCTAAATTTGAGTTCCAAAGAGTCTAAATTTGAGTTCCAACGGCGTACACGGAGTCAACGATGGCATTAATTACGGATTGGTGGAATTCGAGGGAGAATTTTCTTCGAAAATTTCGAAGGAAAGAACGAGAACTCGCGTGAGTCTACATTTGAGTTCGCCAACGATGGCATTAATTACGGATTGGTGGAATTCGTGAGGAGAGAATTTCCAGGGAGAATTTTCTCCGAAAATTTCGAAGGGAAAAACGAGAGCTCGTGTGAGTCTACATTTGAGTTCCAACGGCGTACACGGAGTCAACGATGGCATTAATTGCGAATTGGTGGATTTCGCAAGGAGAGAATTTCGTAGGAGGACCACACGCGAAAGAAGGATTGCCTTACTCCGCCGGCACAAAGAACAGAAGTATTTGAGCTTTTTCCTGCACACGCCTGTGGCCCTGGCCAAAAGCTGCGATATAGAATAAAACGAACGTTATAGCACTTAGAATAGCAGAGCTCCACTGTATCACGTCCCGGCGCAATACCACATGCGAAAGTACCTTTATCCTTCTCCACGAATTTTCGAGAATTTTCCTGGAAAATTTCGAAGGAAAGAACGCGAGCTCGCGTAAGTCTAAATTTCAGTTCCGACGGCGCTCTACATTTGAGTTCCAACGGCGTACACGGAGTCAACGATGGCATTAATTGCGAATTGGTGGATTTCGAGAGGAGAGAATTTCGTAGGAGGACCACACGCGAAAGAAGGATTGCCTTACTCCGCCGGCACAAAGAACAGAAGTATTTGAGCTTTTTCCTGCACACGCCTGTGGCCCTGGCCAAAAGCTGCGATATAGAATAAAACGAACGTTATAGCACTTAGAATAGCAGAGCTCCACTGTATCACGTCCCGGCGCAATACCACATGCGAAAGTACCTTTATCCTTCTCCACGAATTTTCGAGAATTTTCCTGGAAAATTTCGAAGGAAAGAACGCGAGCTCGCGTAAGTCTAAATTTCAGTTCCGACGGCGCACGCGGCGTCCACGTTTTCCCGCGAATTTTCGTCCCCCGGGATATTTCTCACACGGCTGGATTTTTAAGGCTGCAGTTGTCTCGGAAATCTATTCAAGGTGTGTTCAGAATCGACGAGAGAGGATACCTGGGCCACCTTAGAACGCGTCAGCTGTTCCAAGGGCCGTCCCTTTAAAGTTTAAAGGTCCTGGAAAGCCTATTATGCAGCTGGTTTCTCGAGGCAGGCTCTCTCCTCTTTTACGATGTCCTGGCGGATCATAAGCCGCGGAAAATACCTACTAAGGTAAGCACCTTTCGCACAACACGGCAAGTTCATGGGAAAATCAGGGAGGGTACGATTTTACGAAGGTCCTTCGTACGTCTGGCAAGTGTTCCTTTCATCGTATTGTGCTGGCCACGTACGGTGCACAAGGCGTACGGTGCATCCTTCGATTATTATGGTTCCGAACCTACCGAGGTTCTTCTATACATACGTACGAAAATTTACGGTTCACGATTTCAACTGATCGACGAACAATCGAAAATTCACGGCTTTTATCGTTTTCACTTCTTTCCACGGTAGAACATATTCAACGAACGTAAGTTAATAAAAGCTGATACTTTATCTATCTCGTTTCCCCTTTTTTTCCCCGTCCTTCGTTGAAAATATTCTCGAGGATGACAGAGAAAGCCGACGTCGATCGTTGAACACACCGGACGAACACAAGTTAATAAAAGCTGATACTTTATCTATCTAGTTTCCCTCTTCTTCCCCGTCACCCGTTGAAAATATTCCGGAGGATGACAGGGAAACTCAGGGCGGATAATGGTCTAATTGGAATTCGTATCCTGTTTCGTTACAAGCCGGTAGACAACGTCCCAGTATCGATAAATCTCGAAGGTCTAAAGGACCAGGCACGCGTGCCAGAAGGAACAGCCACGTGGCTAGATCCTCGTTCCAAGAAACGATTTGTGTTTTAACCAAAGCTGCACGTCGCCCTTTGCCTCTTTCCGGGCAACAAACACTGTCCCACAACCGACCAAATCGAACGTCTACTTTTTTCATTGTTCACGTCGATACACTCGTTGGTTGGAGAGAAGTCTTTCGATTTTCAAGAACTTCGAACTGGTGAAAAATTGCGTGGACGATGTGCAATGGGACCTCGGTAGTTGCACGAAACGGGTTAGAAAAAGGCTGTAACTATCGAGGTAACTTCTGTTAGTTCACCCCATAAATTCGTGCCGAAAGCGAGAAATATTTCAATGAAAATCCAGGGAGATAGCGCTGACATAATAATTTTACCAAAAGAAAATAAGAGAAAGTTGCGAATGAGAAGGCACTTACGTTTTCCTTTTTATGA